CTCTTTCCCTACACGATGCTCTTCCGATCTCCCCAAAACCCCAAAACCCCATAGAGCATTAAATTTAGAAAATTTCGGAAAATCGAGTATAACAGTAATGCAAAGTAAAGTAGTATTATTGTAAATTAAAGATAGTATTATAGTACTTTTTGAAAGATTTTAAATATATACACTCAAATGCAGGTGGTATTAATTAGAGTAGCGTGCTTGATCATGGCTTGCGCAACATAATTCTAAACTATTCGAGCGAGAACTCTGGGATTCTTCCAGCAAGAAATTTAGATCTCATGTCATTATGTCATTAATTCAAACATAATTCACAGCCTGACCTCCCTCCTTCCTCTACTGGCCTTCCTGATCTTCATCATTATCATCCTTTGCTGGATCCAAACATTCCATCTGCAGGATTGCACCAATATCGCTTGGCCTCACAGCAACAAAACTCAAAGAGCATATCTTAGCTTTCTCATTATCATCATCTTCATCATCTTCTTAGCATTGCTTATCACCAGTAGCATTGGCAGAAGCCATGTTAGTGGAAGTTTATTTTTTGTTTTAACTTTATAAGTTTTTAAAGATTTATGATGAAAAAGAAGAAGAACAGCCTTGAAAGGATGCCAACTCTAAAGCTCCATTTGGAACTCAATTTTAGTTATTATTAGAATTATTTTAAACATGTTATAATTCTGACTCTGCACCAAAAATGCCAGAAGTCTTGCATTTTCTCTGTATTAATTTAGTTAAACTAGAATTTACCTTGTGGTAGTCAGATAAGTAGCAAGTTTAGCACATCCCCATTGAATAGAGAAGCCTTTCATTGTGTTGGCAATTCCAAGCGTTTTGATTTCTGCCATACTTTCTATAGCAGCTGGAGCACATATTCTAATATGAATTTTTAAATTGTAAGAATTTTACCTTGGCATAATGCTTTCTATTTACATGGGGGCATTTAGTAATTGCCATTACTTTTTATTATGAATCTTAAAGATTCTCAAGTCCTTATTTGCTTAGCTAATCCACAGGATTTCCATTGGCATCAATGCTGCTTGATGAGAGGATTTATTCCTCTAGCTTAGCAACGGGTTAGATAAGAAGAGGCTCAATTACATCTTTTTATAGTAGAGCTTCTCTTTGAGATTCAGAATATTTACCTTAAACTCCAGTAGGGTTCTGAAGTTTTGTCAATTCATTTTGAACAAAATATTCTAAAAGATTCTTATTGAGTTGGCAATGACACGTCATGGTGCATTAATTCTGAGGATTTAGAGATTGGGGAAGTTGCTGCATAATCTCAGATCTTAGATCGCTGTTTGATCTTTGGAAGGTAACTTGGGGTCTAGGTTGTGGTTTGTTGAGTGCCTGGATGTAATCATTAATTTGAGAAGGATGAGTCGGTAAAGCCGTAGAGTTTTGGGTATTTGAATTTTTGAGAAGGCTTGGCTCTGAGCCAGAAAAACTTCTCTATGGATTCCAGTAGTGTCTTAGTAGAGTACTTTAATGACTCATAGTGCTCATAGGCAGGCCCAAAACTTGACTATTTGGAATTGTTTGATAAGTCTAAAATCCTTATCCAATAACTTAAGGTGATCTAATCTAGTCCAGGTAAGATGGAGAAAAATTTTCTGGCTATTTTCTTTTTCCTAGGAGCTGATTCAAATGAGACTGCAAGATGTAATTAGATGATGCACTGGATGTTTTCACTTTTTCTTCAATTTCTATAACTTCTATAGCCTCCGCAATTTTGATGGCGTAAGCATTAATGGTCTGTACACTTTGGATATTTGAATTAGAGGAAAACTGTGTATCGACTGTGTTATAGGAGTCCTCGTTTGCAATCTTCTTTTTCTCGTATTCCTATAAAAACTTGTGAGCGATTGAATTCAGGAAGGTAATTAGCTAGAGATAACTGTAACATTGCAATCAATTAAGAACAATAGAGAGTTTTTCCATAATAAATGGGGGGAAATCGATCTAACGATTACAAATCTCAAATGTATTAGATATCAATGAGAAATCCCCAGTTTTATATAATTTTCAACTCTCTTAGCTCAATTTTGCAATATCTGGAATGCTTTTAGGGGTTCTTACCTCATTTAACTGTTGTAGCGCATTGTATGAAAGTTCTTGCATTTTATATGTGATATACTCTTAATACGAAGGGAAAGAATTTATAATATTATCTTATTATCTAATAATAATAGTCTAAATCTTAAATCATTAAAATATGACCCATAAACTATTAGAATTTAGTATAATGAATGTTTATTAGTCTCAAGAATATAAAGATCGGTGCTACTCGGGAGGGTTTACTCTCTGTAACATTGCGGGCTTGGGACCGAGTGTGCTTGTAGGACTAAGAGTGAACCTGTTATGACGCTGTGCTTTGGCTTGTCCATTTCAAATTAGGTGTCAACACTGTGGGCTTTGAGCAGTCTTAGCCTTCAGGGTTGTCAAAGAAGTCGGGAATGCCTAAGGCTGGTAACAGAGCAGGGAAAACGGCTCGCACTTAATAGTGAAAGGATAGCAAGCCTTTATAGCGTTGAAGGTTATCGCTTGGCTCCTAACTGGTATTCTCGGGTCTACGGCATCATTTTGGCTCTAAATCCATCAAGATACTCTCATTTTGAACTTTTATGAATGAATCACTTATTGTAAATGTATAATTAAAACTTAGGCATACTATTTATTAATCAGAAAATCTATTTATTCCTATTCATTATTCTTTAGATTTATAAGTTTTCATGTTGGGGTTTTGGGGTTTTGGGGTTTTGGGGTTTTGGGG